CCGAGCCCCGGGTCGGGACCGAGCCCCGGGTCGGGACCGAGCCCTCTCGGCCCGGTTAGTTCTCCGCCAGTCGCTTTCCTCGCTCTTTGCCCCGGTAATAGGTCGTTCTTTGGGCTGGCCCGTTACGTCACGGGCCGATCTCCCCCAATCAATGATCTCAGACTTCAACTCCTTGTCTCGTTTCGGATCGTTTTTGTTCTCCCTAACAAATAATTAAATTGATCTCAAATTAATGATGTGAACTAATTTTGTTTTAATTTTGAAATTCCAGAACATAAATTATTATGGATATTTGAATTCTTTTTGGATTTCAATAATTGACCCACTAGATATAGTTTAAAACATTTCACTGAGTATTCCTCAAAAAAGAAAAATTACAAAAAGAAAAAATAACATTTCACAAAGTAGAGGCCATCAAATAAATTAATAAAAGACTTACCTATGTTAGGCATATGTTAAATCCTTTTAAAATAATAAAATATGCAAAATTTCAGAGATTAAAATAAAAATTTTAATATTTAAGGAAAAAGCAAAATATACATAAAGATTCTTAAATCTTTATAAACGAAAGAATATTGTCAAAATCAAACTATTTATTTGGATAAATGTTAGTAATTTTTGTAGTTTCCTTTAATTTGTCATCTCCATACCAAAAAAAAATAAAATCATTCCATGTTTCAAAGATTAAAATAAATTTCTTATTTATTTATAAATTCCAAAGATTAAAATAAAATTTTAAATCTTCCTAAAAAAATAATAAAAAAATTTTAAATATTTAAAGAAAAAAATGAAATAAACATAAAAATTCTCATCTTTTATAAATGGACGATTACTGTCAAAATCAAACTATTAATTTGGATAGGTGCCAGTAATTTTAGTAGTTCTCCTCTATTTCGTCCTCTCCATAAAAAAAAAATAATAAATAAATAAATATATATTATATATATATTATAGCTCCCCCGTTATATCACAGTATGTAAAAACATTTTTTAAAACAAAAATTAGTATCCATCTAAAACTTTATTTGCAATTCAGAGGGAATATATACCTTTTATTTATTTTTTAATAATAATGATAATATTGGGAAGAAAACTGAAGTTTCTTTTATCCAATAATATTCTTCAATCCACATCCATCTTTCTCGTCAACTTTTTCATCGTTGTTGGTATAACTTTTTTCTATCATATATATGATTTAGACGTATCAATATTTTCTTTATTTAAAATTTTAATAAATTTTAGAATTTATTTTCTTTTTTGTTTTCAAAGTTTAAGAAGTGGTCTATTAAGTCCCAAAAAATACAAAGCTTCTCCATTTAATCCTCAAAATTCTTAGAATAATCGTTCTAAATTATCTCGGTAGTCAATTTATCATTAATTTTTCAAAAAAAAAAATGGTAAAGTATCGTTCTAAATTAACTCACAAGCTTTCACTAACAACAAATAATAATAATTTTAAAACTTTTTAGTGGTAAAGTATAAAATGCAACCATTTAAACTAGATTTAAAAATGTCTAAATTATCCATCAAATCATTTTATCGTAAGAAAGTATGATATAACAAGTTAGTTGATATGATTATTCAAATTTATCACGTAATATTTTTCTTTCAAACAATTGATGACATATTGACTTTAATAACCATTTAAGATTTCGAAAAAATAAACAACTGTTTATAAGTATTCTTTAGAACTATAGAGCCTATAAAGATACTTTACATTTACCTTTTTCATGAAATAATCATTTTAGGTTGTCTAGAAGATTTATTTTTTTTTCCCTTTTTCGAGAAAAGGCAAACATCATAATATATATAAAGAATTTAAATTTCTTTGCAATTTCAGGGAAATGTAACTTTCTTTTTTCTTTTTTACATGCATTGAATACTTCCAAGGACTAAAATGTTAGTGAAAGAGACAACAAACTTTTTCTTTTATTTATTCTTAGCAGAAATTCAGCCATGTGTATAAATCTCATGCTAACTTAGAGGCCCAATGGGGAAAAATAAATAAATAAATAAACAACAGATTCATTAGTGTATAAAAAAATGCCAACATTTGAAATATAGCTCCATAATTCCTAGAGGATTATATTTTGTTATAATTGATTGGGCAATTTAATTACTTTTTTTTTCGTTAAAATCAGCTTTTTTCTAATTACTTATGCCTATTCCATATTTTATTTGTTTAAAAATTGAGTTATTTAAGAATGATGAAATCAAAAGATTTCTTAACAAATATATAGGCAAATATACGATGTTAGCACTTGTCACAAATGAACTACAATATATCATCGTAAATATAGATACACGACACAAAGTCCTCGATAATTCAGAACTCGCACTACATTTTTACCTTTTATATTTTTATGATTTATGATATTTCTCATAAATTTGGGAATATGATATTTTGGTGAAGTAGAAATCTTTGATGGGGCATCAACTTCTGTATATTACGAATATGAATATTGCAACAAAATTTCTAGACAATATAGTTATTTATTGCCTGCTTCCCATATTCTGAATATCAGAAAAGTTAATAAAATAAAGTAAAAAAAAAAAAGAGAAAATCTCAGATTTTAATAATATTTGCATAGGCCTTATCAATCCATGGCAAGGCATATGGGCCTCCTCGTTTTGACCTGGTCAACGTGTCGGAATATCAAATCTTTCAATGGTTTTTAATTAATTAATTATTCACTTATTTAATTATTATAATAGTAATATTATAATGCAAAGCCTTAATATTGAATGAAGAGAGGGTGAATTTCAAAACTCTCACATTCACTCTCATCCACTTTGCAAATTACAATACGCACTGTCCCCTTGACTTGAATAACAAATGAGATTGGTTAGTTTTCGGTAGTTACAAAGTTTTAGTGCAACAATTTGGTTGAATTTTCAAGAGCAGAATGGTATTGAAATTTATCTGAAATGACCTTTTCAATCAATTTAATAATCACGACGAACTTCACCGTCAATACCGAAAGGCAACGACCAAGATGAAACATCATAAAACATGAGTTCGATGCTTTAACAGTGCTTGAATCTATTCAAATCGAAAACTTAAGCATATATCGTCTTTGGTTAGATTATGCAGAGGAATAGGTACATAAACTCTTTTTTTTTTTATATTTGTGAATGTCCTGGCCAGCTTGCACACACCTCAACTAATCTCACGGGGCAACTAACTGTTTGACACTACAACATTTGGTATCGAAAAATACATAGAAACATGTTAAAGTAGGTGACCATCAAGGGTTGAAGTCATTCCCTCTTAGTTTACAATGTTTATGGTAGGTAGGTGATTTATAAGGTGTAGTCTAAACGATGTGGATTTCAAGAGGCTAAGTTTATATAGACAGTAGGATAGATAAATTCATAATAAGAATAAGAAATAAGCAAGTAAATGAGCATGACACAATGATAAATGACATCTACTGACTTTCATTTCACACATCCAAAAAAGGCAAAGGGGTGACTCATGAACAAGGTATAACTTCCTCCTCAAACATGGTTCTATGAAAAATCTTACCAAAAAAAAAAAAATTCTATAGCACAAAATATACACCTAAAAGAACACCTTAGTTTTCCTTTTCCCTTCCCGACAAAAAAAAGGGAGGGAAAAGGAAGGAAATGAATGCATAATTCAAAGAGGGTGGTGTCACGTGGAAACCAAATATGCTGTGGGTCTCTCTTAGCACATTTGCCCACAGCTCCTTCTTATGCAGTGATCAGCCTCCACATGTAATACATGATGATTCAGTGCAGATAAAAGGGAAAAGAAAAAGGGGGGCTACTGCTGGCAAATATCCCCTCTTTGTGTGTGGTGTGAGACTAAAATACTGCACTCTGCAAATAGTAAAGCAGAACTGGACCACGTTGCCCACCATAAATGATTGTTCGACTTCAGCATAAAGACAGTACATAATGTACAGTACACAGGACATTCTCGATGGCTACTACCCACCCGCAAAGAAAAAAAGAAAAAAAAAACAATTAAAGCTATATATTTGTTTCAAGCTATAATGTATATACAATTTAATTTCATCCATGTAGAGAATTTACACTTGTATTATTGCTTCAGGAATCTTCCAGATAAATATCCTTTTTTTTTCTTCTATCACAGGCTATGGGGATGGGGGGACTCATCATCAGGCGTTACAATAATTTAATGCATGCTGTTACATTTTCTTTCAGTATAAAGAATTGAATATAGAACAAACACATACCGGGTGAAGTTTCATCTTCTTAGGTGGTTGGATGCTGAATCGAAGTCCCTTCCAAGTTCATCAAATTCCCAGTCATTTATCTCGTCAGTTGGGTCAATTATATCCTCCGCCCCATCATCCGACTCTAGCTTTGCTAATTCTGCTTCCATGTTAAAGTTCTTGAATCCTCGAGCCCCCGTCATCCGTTTTGATGTGGAAGATGTACTTAAATGTCTCTGTGGCTTTTCATTCACTGGCAACTCTGATCTTTGCCTTACTGTTTCAATCAACAATCTCGGTCTCTTGATAGATTCAAATTCTTGTTTTACTTTTTCAAGTGCATCAAATATCTCTTGTACCTTCTGGTGGTCGAGATTCCTGGATCAAGAGATCAGTATATATCCAAAAGTGCATAGAATTAGTGTCCAGCTGACAAAGTAGAAAACATGGACAACGAATGCATCCTATTTCCCTTGCCCAGTCAACACTATTTTAGTACCTGACAACTCCTCCTTTTGTTTCATAGAACTGCATTCTTACTGTATCCACAGTGCTTAAGGTGGAAACAAACTGGCCAGTAAAGAAAGCGAGGAAATAGACAAACCAGAAAATAAATTAGATATAAGCAACATAGTGCACAGTTGAAAGACTAAAAACTAACCACTAGCTCCCAATTAGAAATTGTGAGTGGCAAGTGCAACATAGTTTTGGAGGACAACGGTCCAAATCAACGCCCTATGAATGAAAAGGGAGTTTTAATCATTCTTAATACCACCAACAGTGTTACCTTGGATTCAATATCCAAATATTCCTCCTCAAGCTTCCTCCGTTGTTTATCAACATTTAAACTTCCATCATCTATATTGGGTGAGGCATCTGACCTGAGGAAAGTTTGTTTTCAGTAGTCTGGTTAGTTATATCACATTACTTTTAGAATGAATCATATTGTTTTTAAAAGAACCATACTCTTTCATCGAACACAAGTTCTCCTCAAGTTTCCTGATACAAGAAAGTGAGGGCTCCAACTTTTCCTGATGAGAGTAGATGGTCCAATGTGCATGACAGTCAGAAAACGGTAAATCATATCCAATGGAAGCAGTAGATGGCAACTGATGAATATAAAAGCGTTGAACTAGATAGTGTAACTGGTACCTTGTAAGAAGAGAGAAGGCTGATGACCAACTTCATAAAATAATCTCCATATTTTTCCAGTTCGCCACTTGAAAAGAAAAGGAAAAACAAACAAACAAAAAATCAAGCAGCTCCCTGACTAGAATAAAGCTTAAAGGGAAAGACATAGTAGCTGATTCCACAACATGCAACATAACTCAAGTAATTTGGGCAAAATATAAGTAACATACTCGACATTCTTCTCCTTCAGTTGTCTTTGGGATATCTGAAGGTTCCATGTATGCTCTAAAAAGTGTATACATGAATTTACAGCACCTGCTTCTACTTTATATGAAGCAACAGATTTGAACAGCTCGTCTTCCTAAAGCCAAAGAACAATACAGAAATTAAAGAACTAACGAGTGGGAAATCATAAGACCCTTCACTTTGAAACTTCATTGCAACAGGATATTAATTCAAACAAGTGCACAACTAACAGCTCGAATACCTTTGTCTTCAAATGCACAAGTATCTGATTACTTGCTTCATCAAAATGCTCTCTTTCTTCCCTTGCATTATGAAGGCGCATACGAGCAGAAGACAACAAAGTGTTGACCTGAACAAAACATAGAGCCATATCAATCCCCGGAGCTGATAAGAAGACACAAGGTTCAAGTTGCATGAACATAGGAACCCAAAGAAGGTGAAACGAAGACACAAGGTTCAAAATTGTGTAGTGAATGTTGGATAAACTGACACTAAAAATTCAATTCTACATTTTAATTCGAAACCTACAATATAACCTACACGATAAACAAAGATTTGTAAACAATTCACAATCACCATGTTTTTGGAACTAAAATTCAACTAAGTTGAAAAGCTACAATCCCCCTACTCTTAATCTTTTTAATGTATGGCTGCAGAGAAGCTGATAATAAAGTTCTGGATGCTTCTCAAAATAACCAGGTGAAAATTGAAGGCTTCAGAAAGCTTCCACCACAATTTCCTAGCAAAAAGACATAGGAGGAAGAGATAATCCAAATCTTCACTATTACTTCTATACAAAAGAAACCCATTTGGCAAAAGTCGTCTCATTGGATTTCTTATCCGGATTTTGTCATTTTCCTAATACCATCAAGATAAAGGGAACATAAGAATAATTTGCAGTTCTTGGGCACCTTAAACTTTAGATCCCCTTGCAAAAGGAGAAACATATATAATCTTTTCACCGACCAAAAGGGGCACTTGTATAGGAGGACAAGACCAAGTATCAAGATTAAGTGAGGTGTGAAAATTGCCAATGTGCACATAAAGAAGAGTCCAGTTAACGAATCTCTTTCATATATCTTGAAATTGAGAATCCAACTTGTTTCTTTTAATCCCACACAATAGCTTCGTTCTGCTATCAGGCAAGTTGAACAATCTAGGAAAGGCTATGAATAAGAGTGTAGTTCCAGAAATTGTAATCTTGAGAACTTGAGTGAATTTCTCTGGTTGTTGTTGGCATCTTTCATAACTTAATAGGATCGTGTAGTAGGTTTGATAGAGTTGTTAAGTGTCCTCGGATTATGTTGAAGATCAAAGTTTAAGTAACTTGTTGAAAGTTTGAGGAAAAGAAGAAAAGAGATGCAGGAAAAGAAAACAGAAAGGACTCAACTCAAAACACTCATCTTCACACGAGAAAGTTAAGTGTCAAGAAGCTGTTAGGAACGGGATAATATGACTTGGAAACTATATTGAAAGATAAAAAAAAGATAACAAAAAAATATATAGCAAGAATCTTCCAAGTAATTCGAGACATTTTGACCCTCTCTCTTGAGCTTACTCAATGGCTGCAATTTCCAACCTCTGTCCATTTTGGATTCCTTCTTTCTGCTTCATTCGTTTCCTCTGTGATTTCATCAACCTTAAAAGGGTTGTATATAATGTTCCCAGCACAAATCCACATGTTTATTCCCTCCCTCCAATGTCGATCTTTGACTAATATTGTCTCCCTCTAGTTGTTTTCAGCTACTTTCCATCAGATTCAGCACTTAATTTTGATGCGTCCAGGTTTGCCATCCTTGCTACCACCTCTGTCGTCATCCTCCTTCACGATGCCAATTCAGGCTTCATATCCTGTGCTAGAGTACGCATTTCCAGCATCAATTTTTCCCGCTACATTTTTTTTCCTAGAAGAACTTTTCATTCCCGAGAATGAACACTCTAATACCAAATTATTAGAGATCAAATAATAAGACTTGGAAATAATATTAAAAGATAAAAAAAATACATCAGAAAACTCTCAAGTAATTCAAGGGACTTTGTTCTTTGATTTTCAAATGGAGATTGGTTAACTATTCTACATAAGTTGTCCAGATTGAGGGAGTAATATTCAATTTATCATCCGAAGCAAATTTGGTCAAGTTTTTAAGGGAGACCTGGGATTCTACATTACTAATTATGTGAAGACGTATGACCTACGTAGCTACAAGGTGCTAGATTCTGTAGGTTTTCCTTCTTCCTACTAAGTTCAAAGGAAAGTAAACTAGAGAACTTACACTACTTTTCTCTCCGTAGTTTGAAGGAGACTGAGTCCATGGCCGTAAAAAAATAGTCAAGGAATGATTTTTACCCATTAGCTATGAGAAATATCAAACCTAAAAGTAGAGATTATGCACGGGATTGAATATGGACAAGTTCTACAAAATCCACAAAACAATTTCGCTGAATGGAGTACCAGATAGCTCGTTATATTTCAAACTTGTGCTTGCTGCTTAGACATCAAATAAAAGGGTGATCTCCGACCAATTAGATAATCAGTGAAAGCTGTTGGCTGGTAGTTATACCCCAAAAGACGAGGGACAACAAAGCAATACCAAGATTTGAGGCCTTTAAGAAGGTTTGACTAAAATATCAAAGGAGCAAAAGGAGGATCATATATGGATGGCATAAGAAGACAAAAACAATGGGAACGTGAAATCTACTTCCAGAACTCAAAATGCAGAACACCACGGAGTGTAGAGCAAAAAATTGAAAAAAAAAAGAACAAAAAAAAACAAGGCCAAATGTTGTAAAATGCTTTAGGAGTGATCAACAGGTATACTTACGAATGTGGGGTGATCTATGATCACAAAACTTGTCTCTGTCCTTCACAAATAACCGGAATCAGTCATTGAGACATACTAGACATGGATGCTTCCCATATTCTACTTGTTTGTTTGTGAAAATGTGACGTGCAAGCTTTACATAAAGGATGTGAAATGAACCTGCGAATTTTTGTTGGGTAAAAAGATAGTGTTCCTTCGAATAAAAAGTGATGATAGTGTTACAAGGGTGAAGAAGAAGGATATAGGTAATACTGCAACATTCTCAGTGCTGCTAGCCTTTGTAAATGAAGCGGTTAGTTGACAAATTAAGGGACATACCTACCTAAGCATTGCCTCTATGAGACATTCATTATTGAACATAGTGGCAAGAGCGTTGCAGTAATTAATTTTTAAAAACTCAAGGACACAGTAGTAGAACCTACAGAACAGATCCTGTTTAAGTAAGGAATAGGATCATAGTAAAATTCTATATTACAGGCGAAAGAGTTTCAAACCATGAAGCAAGGGCTCAGCTTTTCTGGGTCTTGCCACTTTTTATAAAAAGTGTGTTAGTGGTTTTAGCTCCATCGTCACCACTAATAGATTGTATGAAAAAAAGAAATATTTCCATAAGACAGAAACAAAAGGAGAGCTTTAAACGCAGAAAGAAGAAGTTCTATATACCACAACAGTCTTGGTTTTTACAAGATTTCTCTCAACTATGTGAAGTGCCGATAGCTCATAAACAGGAGTTTGTGTCATTCTATCTTAAGGAAGGAGAAGCTACAGAATAATTATTCTAGAGACATCAACGATTCTCATCAAAGACACTAAAGTATTTACTCTCCACATGGATAAGTTCCATGAAGCGTATACTTCCAACTTCCCATTGGAAAAAGATATAGGAAAAAGTAAGAGCACAATACAGCATTGGAGTAAGGAAACTAGATTAGTGAGAGATGAAAGGTGGGAGACAACAGATAAAAGAGAGGATTGCATGAGAGAACTAATTTCATACAGCAGTCACAAGAACAAGCCTGTTCTACATGGCAGAAAAATAAACACAACCTTTTTCAATTCAGCTTCCAGTTGATCCTTTTGCTTCTCAAGTTCTCCAATCTCATCTGTAAATTCCTGAATAATACCATAATATAAAGTTTGACTACAATGAGTAATGAAACGGATAACTATACAAGCACAATGATGATAAGAAGAACTTTAAATCCAAACATGCAACTGAGTTCTTCTGCACAGCACAGATGGATTTCTATTGCAAAGAAACAAATTTCATTCATTAATAATATAAAATATACAAAAACATGCAAGAATTCAGGTAAGAAATTACAAAACATCCTATCCAATTGCCTAAATCATAGAAGTGGAGAAATCAAGAGGGCTCTTAACTATC